GGTATACGAATTGTATCAAAATAAAACTGTCAAAAATAATCCTAATAGAGCACATGAGTGGCTCCATAATTGAATCACAGAGTCTTTGGGTCCACAGAGCTCCAGTGGTTGCAGAAGCTCTTTGCAATGCTGCCCACGTTGAGGGTCCAGAGGAAACAGGACGATGGAGAAAGGCTTTTAATCTAATTTTCATCAGATTCCCATCTCTGTTGAAGCAACCAGTATTTACTGAGTGTCTTCTATGAGGCAGACCCTGCTGCAGGTGCTAAGACTTTATCAGCAAGCAGAAAACAAAGTCCCTGCTCTCAGGACACAAATGTTAAATAAGAAAATAAGAGATAATATCTCAGGTAAGATAAGAGCTAACAGGAACTGGGGGCTGCTGCTATTTCAAGCAGAGCAGGTTAGGGAGGGCTTCAGGGCTTCTCTGAGCGAAAGCCTAAAGGAAGCGAAGGTGGGTGCCATGTGGGTTATCAGGGGGACCGCAGGTGCAAAGGCTCGAAGGTTGGGGCATTAGGCGTACAGAGCACAGAAACCAGCGTGGCTGGGCTGAGAGCTATGAGAGAGACAGGGAGGGGTTGGGTGGGGAGCAGACCAGAGGAGGGGCTCTGGCTCCTACTCAGGAGGACAGGAGGGTGGGAGAGACGAGGGCAGGCCCTGATTTCAGTTTTGCAACCGCTCTGTGGCAAACAGATCAGACCAAGGAGACAGACTCGGAGCATCCTCCTTATCCAAACATTCCTACCTCTTCTCTGATAAATTTGGGAATCTTTTTAAACAGTTTTCTCAGTTATTTTGCTAAGTGCACAGGCCTTTAATGCTAGTGAGCTATAGATTTGGTTACAAAGACAGGCATATTCAGTACTTTGTTCTTTATGGTCATCACATGAGTCAATTTCAATTTTTCTCATACTCAGATTCACTTGTTTGGAAAGTCTCTGACCTGGAGCTCGTAATGGAAGCTTTGCGGTAGCTCAACACAGATGCATACTGAAATTCTTTTTTTTTTTAATTTTTTATTAATTTTTATTGGTGTTCAATTTACCAACATACAGAATAACACCCAGTGCTCATCCCGTCAAGTGTCCCCCTCAGTGCCCGTCACCCATTCACCCCCACCCCCCGCCCTCCTCCCCCTCCATCACCCCTAGTTCATTTCCCAGAGTTAGGAGTCTTTATGTTCTGTGTCCCTTTCTGATATTTCCCACACATTTCTTCTCCCTTCCCTTCTATTCCCTTTCACTATTATTCATATTCCCCAAATGAATGAGAACATACACTGTTTGTCCTTCTCCGATTGACTTACTTCACTCAGCATAATACCCTCCAGTTCCATCCACGTTGAAGCAAATGGTGGGTATTTGTCGTTTCTAATGGCTGAGTAATATTCCACTGTATACATAAACCACATCTTCTTTATCCATTCATCTTTCGATGGGCACCGAGGCTCCTTCCACAGTTTGGCTATTGTGGACATGGCTGCTAGAAACATCGGGGTGCAGGTGTCCCGGCGTTTCATTGCATCTGAATCTTTGGGGTAAATCCCCAGCAGTGCAATTGCTGGGTCATAGGGCAGGTCTATTTTTAACTCTTTGAGGAACCTCCACACAGTTTTCCAGAGTGGCTGCACCAGTTCACATTCCCACCAACAGTGTAAGAGTGTTTCCTTTTCTCCGCATCCTCTCCAACATTTGTTGTTTCCTGCCTTGTTAATTTTCCCCATTCTCACTGGTGTGAGGTGGTATCTCATTGTGGTTTTGATTTGTATTTCCCTGATGGCAAGTGATGCAGAGCATTTTCTCATGTGCATGTTGGCCCCGTCTATGTCTTCCTCTGTGAGATTTCTCTTCATGTCCTTTGCCCTTGGATTGTTTGTTTCTTTGCTGTTGAGTTTAATAAGTTCTTTATAGATTTTGGAAACTAGCCCTTTATCTGATATGTTATTTGCAAATATCTTCTCCCATTCTGTAGGTTGTCTTTGTTTTGTAGACTGTATCCTTTGCTGTGCAAAAGCTTCTTATCTTGATGAAGTCCCAATAGTTCATTTTTGCTTTTGTTTCTTTTGCTTTTGTGGATGTATCTTGCAAGAAGTTACTGTGGCCGGGATCCCTCGGTGGCGCAGCAGTTTGGCGCCTGCCTTTGGCCCAGGGCGCGATCCTGGAGACCCGGGATCGAATCCCACATCAGGCTCCCGGTGCATGGAGCCTGCTTCTCCCTCTGCCTGTGTCTCTGCCTCTCTCTCTCTCTCTCTGTGACTATCATAAGTAAATAAAAATTCAAAAAAAAAAAGTTACTGTGGCCAAGTTCAAAAAGGGTGTTGCCTGTGTTCTCCTCTAGGATTTTGATGGAATCTTGTCTCACATTTAGATCTTTCATCCATTTTGCATACTGAGATTCACACAAGAGCGGTCCTGCACAGATTCAGAGTATCAGTAGGCCTCTTCACAGAAATTGACTATTTAAATCACTGATATTAATCTCGACATAAAAATGATTCATACTTGGGTTTAGATAAATTAACAATATCACACCAACAAAATGTATCAGAACTTACAAATAGTTAAATACTAAAAATTAAGATCACAATGACTATTTTTCCCCGCTTTATAGACAAAGAACTGACAGTGACACAATTTGCTTGAGGTCAGACTGCTAGTAGTTAGTGGCTTGGCCAGAATTAAACACGAGCAACCCACAGACCTTGCCACTACATGAAAGGTTCCCAGAGAAAGTGGCATCTGAGTTGGGCCTTCAGGGAGGCTCCCATCCCACAACTCATGGGAACTGGTAAACACCGGGATATGCACTCTGCAGGAGCCTGGGAGCAAATTAGGATCAAAGCTCATGAGGACAACCTCAGAAGAGGCTGGGCATCTAACTGTGCCAGGGAGGCATTTGCCGTGTGGACGTTACTTTCTAGGGCTGGCTTCCATCCTCCGGATCCTGGGTGAGAGGCAGGCTGTGTGCTGGAGAACCCAAAAGAAGGGAAAGGTTTTCGGCTAGTATGAGTGCGGCCCGAGACTGACCCTAGGTGCTAGTTGGATAGAGAAAGGGGGATTAACTCTGGAGTAAGGGGATGACTCATGGATGGTCCCAATACTTGGAGAGCCCCAGCCATTGGCCTTTCTAAAAGTCTTCCCTCTTTTTATTTTACTAATGATAAATTATCCCCTCTCCCTCACATACAGCTCTGTGGGAGATGACAGAGAACTCTCAATATGGGTTCCTGTCCCACAGGATCTCACTCTCGGAGACTTTGTGATTAAAAACCGTAGTTAGAAAAAAAAAAAAAAAAACCGTAGTTAAGCCATTCAAGAATAAATATTGGGGCGGGGGGGGGGGGGAGCACCTGGGTGGCTCAGTGGATGACCTTTGGCTCAGGTCATGATCCTGGGGTCAAGTCCCACATCACACTCCCTGCAGGGAGCCTGCTTCTCCCTCTGCCTCTGGCTCTGCCTCTCTCTCTGTCTCTCATGAATAAGTAAAATCTTTAAAAAATAAAAGAATAATATTAAGGTTTCAATAAAACTGGAAGAAAATAAAATAAAAATAACGTTTCCATGTAGTCAAGTGCATCTGGGTACGTTTTAAGAGTAATGGACATGTTATGGCGAGGCAGAGAGGTGGAGGGAGGGTCCTAGTTCAAGCTTTGCAAGGAGAGAAGAAACCAAATAGCCATACTGATGCCAGGCACATAGATGTGTGCTCAGTATAATTATTGTGCAACACGAATTTCCCCAACGTTTCCTCATCTAATCTTTACAATGCTTAGAAGGTAGGGGATATCCTCCCCTTTCATAGATGATAAAATTGAGACACTGAAGAGCTTAGGTAACTTGATTATAAGTCACACAGCTAGTAGGAGGCGGAGCCGAGTAACTCAAAGTCTAACAGATAGTAAAGTGGTGTTTGTTTGTTTGTTTGTTTAAGATTTTATTTATTTATTAATGAGAGACACAGAGACACAGGCAGAGGGAGAAGCAGGCTCCCTGCGAGGAGGCCGATGCCGGATCCGGAGATCACAACCTGAGCCCAAGGCACGCGACCAAACCACTGAGCCACCTAGGCATCCCAGTAAAGTGGTTTTATCACTCGGAAATAAAAAAGAGATGAAAGCATAAAATGACTCCATAGCTGCTCTGTCAATCCCAGCACTGGGCTAGAGTAGCAAAAACCGCCTATATATAAAAAGTACCGAGCATGCACTGCAAAAATTGAGGTTCTTTTACATTGTGTCTGGACACAATCTCCACTGCAGAGCTGAGCGAGCACCAGCGTCATTAATTCTCATTGCATAGCCTCGCTTTGCTACAGCTCGCTGAAATTCGAGTCAGGGTTGAACGGCTTCCCAGCGCAATGACCTCTGCAAAAGCAGGATGCGCCAACTCTTGCTAGTTCGGAAACCTACCGGGTCCTCTCAACTCGGCCGCCCACCACCGACACCCACGCCGCGAGCAGAGACCCCCGACGGCGGGGGTCGCTCGCACGCCCGGATCCTCACCCCTTCTGGGCCCTTCGTCCCCGTGCATTCTCAGCGAGTGCCCAGCTGGGGGGGGGGGTGCTTCCTGGAGGAGTTGGCCCTCCCTTTGGCGTAGGCGGGCGACCCTCCGCCCGGGAAGAGGGTGTCGGGGCGGGGCCAAGCGGAGCAGAGCTCCGGGGGCGCTGCCAGGCCTGGAGCGCAGAACGCTGAGCGACCCCAGGGGCCCGGCGCGGCCCCGGGAAGGACAGTCGGGGCGCGCCGCGGGAGGGCGCGGGCCGCGCGCACGGGCGGGGCGGGGCGGGGGCGGCGGGCGGCCGCGGGGGGAGCCGGGGGGCCAGCACACAATGGGCGGGCACGCAGGGCTGGGCGCCCGGCCCCCGCCCCGCCGCACCACGTGGGCCGCAGAGCGCGCCGGGCCAGCAGCGGCCCGTCGGCCCAGGCCGGGCGCGGCGCGGCGTACGTGCGCGCGCGCGCGCGTGCGTGCGTGCGATTTGCGATCAGGCGGCGCGGCGGACAGCCCCGGCGGCGGGGCGGGGGGAGTTATATTGCGGGGTCCTTCCTCGCTCACCCTGGTTCCTCTCGGAGCGGAGACGGCAAATGGCGGACTTCGATACCTACGACGATCGGGCCTACAGCAGCTTCGGCGGCGGCAGAGGGTGAGGCGGCGGGGCGCGGGCCCCGGCCGGGCGCGGGGGGCGGGCGGGGGCGGCGGCGGCGGCCTTCCCGCGCTCACCTGGGGCGGCGGGCGGCAGGGGGCCCGGCCGGGCCCGCGGAGGCCTGGGAGAGGCGCCCGGAGGGCCGGGGCCTGGAAATGGCGCGCTCGGGGAGGGGGCGGCGGCGGCGGCGGCGGCGGTGGTTAGTGTCCCCCGCGTCCTGCTCGCGGCGCAGGCCCGTCCCTGTGTCTCCCGCCGCCGCCGCCGCCGCCGCCGCGTCGTCTCGGCGCCGCCTGGGCCGCAAGGCCAGGCCGCGGCGGCGCTGAGCGCCCGGGAAGACGCGCTCCCGCTCCCGCTCCCGCTCCCGCTCCCGCTCCCGCTCCCGCTCCCGCTCCCAGCCCCCAGTACGGCAGGGCCAGTGCGAGCGTCTGCTGCCGGGCGGAGTGGGGGCCCGGCCCGGTTCCGGCCGCCGGTGGTCCGTCTGCCCTGCGGGCTCCCGCGCTAAGGTCGGGAGGGCGACCGCGGCGTGAGTCCCTGCCCTTACGTGTGAGGCAGGGATTTGGCGGCTCGAGCCCGGCAAGGGTCCGATCCACGCCGGGAGAGGGGGACACCAAGCAAAGGAAATACATAATAGCTTTTTTTTTTTTTTCTTTTAATTTCAGTGCGTCTTGGGAGCACCGTGCCTTATTGACAGGTGCTACGTACTTGCAGGCAGAACATTTTTTATTTCTCCGTCGTTTCTCCTTCCGACCCGGAGAAGGAACCGCGCGCGACTTCGGTTATATACAGACTGTCTATAATCGAGACACCTCATTTAAAAGAGCAATTCTTGACTAATGAATAAGAAGCTTACGGTGTTTAATAGCAGGCATCCGCACTGGGTGTGTGTGTGTGTGTGTGTGTGTGTGTGTGTGTGTTTAGTACAAGTTCCCTCACACGGAATTTAGGAGACGGGCTATAAACGTCTTGCTGTTTGTCAAGGACACACTTGGCCATTGTATACTCTTAACAGAAAGGACTACTTTGCCAGGATAACACTACAATAGTACCTACTGAAGTGTCCAGTCTCCTGGGTTGCTATCCCAAAAGTATCTTTGTTTGGTGAAGAATGACCTTTTAATACCTAGGTTTGGGACCGGCTCAAACAAAGGCTTGTTTGGGTGCGGGAATGCACCTAATATTAATGGCACTAGAACGTGGAAGTTGGGGAAGGTGGAGCCACCTGTTATTTCAAAGAATATTTTATTTGCTAATAAAAAAGGAATAGATGTTGGATGACACGTAAAAGTATTGCCTTTGGGGTAGGTTTCTAGACACCAAATTTGCACTTAAGTCATGTTGAAATTTAATAACCAGGATTCTTTTCTTTCTCTCCCCCCCCCACCCCCCCCCCAGTTTCAAGAAACATTTGGGAGTGCCCAGGAAAACTCTTACACGAGTAGTTTGATTTAAGGCAGATTCAAGGAGTTTTAGTTGGTTTGGGACTACAATAAGTTATACTGAATCTGGGGTTTGGAGTTGGGTTTTTGTTTTTTTCCTTATTCTGCCTTTTGACAGATTTGCCCCTGTTCCGGTGACTTGAGGTGTTTGAGTCACACTTGTAGTGGATGTCACATTTTGACAGTTGGGATGCCTTGAACAATACCAAGTGGTCAAGATGCTCTTCGCTTCAAACATCAGAAGGCAGATAAATGTTAGTCGTGTCCAGATGTAATCCAAAAACCGGTGTGAGAAAATAGCTAGTCACTCTGCATCTCCTAAGCTTTCTGATAAAAAGTCACTTTACTGTTAAAAATCTTCTGTATCTGACCTTGTTGGAGTTTTCCATTTGACTTCAAATCCATGTAAAAACTATGTGGGAAATAGGACTCAGATTCCTAAAAGTAGTTCTGTTCTAAAAACCTATTGGTGAATTTGTGTGTTTGTGTAGACTGTCTGGAGTGGGTCCGGAAACTTCACAGAGTACCGCACATGCAAAGGTGTGGTCTGGGCCAAAGCTTCCTATCCCGGAGTCCATGTTAATTTTAATTTTCATCAGATCTGGAGTTATCAGTTAGTGGTTTCTCTGAAATTTAGCAAGATGGTAGGCTAGTTGATAACCTTTAGTGATAATTTCTACTGTTAGATGAATTATGCTTCCCATCAACAAATGTCTACGTGTTGTTTGCTTATGCTGAGATACTGTGCTTAGGCATTTTGGAATATTGTCACTTCTGGAAAGCCAGTCTTGCATTGCTGTGTTTGGTATTTTTGTACCAAGAGACCTTCCCTCTAGTCTAAAACACCTTAGCTAAGTAAGAGATCTCAACTCTAAGCCACTTGGGTCATAGACGAAAGGAATAGCAGGTTTGAAATGCAATCATAATCTAAAAATTTGGTTTTAATGATTATACATTCCGTGCTAGTTTATTTTGTAGTTGTATGTAGTGACCAGTGCTGTTGTCAGTAAGCAGTGTTAGGAGACTGGTTTATTTTCTCAATCTACAGAGGCATGTCCCTGTTAGCCAAAGAGAGACCCTAGGGACTGCATTGTTGCCCCAGAACAAGTCAAATCAGAATTCCAAATTATCTAGTTAATTGTACTAGATCTGGAGTGTTATTTTGTTCTGCAGGTTGCTGGTTTTTCTTTTTCTTTCCTGGTTTTAATTTTTCACTTGGCCATTGGCAATAAACTGGACAGTAACAGTGTTTTGTTTTTTTTTACACTTCTAACTACAACATGCTTTTGAGTGCTCCACCTAAAACTGTCAATTCTGAGAATCAGATTGGAACTTGGAGGTAACAAGAATGGAGATTGCTGAAAATGATACCTACTAAAAACTGGTAAAACTACACATTGAAGTATTTTTAAGTTCCAGTTGAGGAGGGGCAATTGGAATTCTAACTTTTGAGTCTTCTAAGACTTAAGCTTCGCATCTCTGTCTCAATTTCTAAGCATATTTTAAGACTGAAAAGGGGAAAGAAAACAGTGTATAAAAACAGTAGCTATTTGCACTGATCACATAGAATTCATACAAGTATTGAAAAGCTTATTTTAGGGGATCCCTGGGTGGCTCAGCGGTTTAGCGCCTGGCTTTGGCCCGAGGCGCGATCCTGGAGTCCCGGGATCCAGTCCGGCATCAGGCTCCTGGCATGGAGCCTGCCTCTCCCTCCTCCTGTGTCTCTGCCCCCCCCTTTCTCTCTCACATGAATGAATGAATGAATGAATGAATGAATGAATGAATGAATGAATAAATCTTTTTTTAAAAAGCTGATTTTAATTTTATTTTTTTATTTATTTATGATAGTCACACACAGAGAGAGAGGCAGAGACATAGGCAGAGGGAGAAGCAGGCTCCATGCACCGGGAGCCCGATGTGGGATTTGATCCCGGGTCTCCAGGATCACGCCCAAAGGCAGGCGCTAAACCGCTGTGCCACCCAGGGATCCCAAAAAAAGCTTATTTTAAAATCCTGTTTGCCTACCAAGTGATACGTGGTTTAGGTTTATTATTATTATTGTCCTCTCCACTCCCTAATTCCCACTTCTTGATTCCAAATCATTATCTTCTATAAAAAAGTGTTATCACAGATACTTGGTTTTACAAAACAAGAGCCTCTGAACAGTTTGGGGAAAAGGCCTAGCTTTGGATTGGAATCAGGCAGACTGGACAGAGGTCCAGTGTCACCTGAGCCTTGATTCATGTATTAGCTGTGTGACCTGGAACAAGTTTCTTTACCTCTCTGAGCTTCATTCTCCCCCCCCCCCCATGTAAAATAGAAATTCCTCTATAAGGCTATTGAGAGTATTCAGTGAGATGTCGCAAGCATGCAGCACAGTGTCCATTACACTTAATAATTTGTGGATCTGGATTTATATAATATGTTGGTTCTTGAAATATTTCCCTTGCATCAGTAAGAGTGGGAAAAGTTCTGTTGAGCTAGCGAGTGAGTTTTTACTTTCTTGGCAATATTTCTAAAGCCAGGTAAGAGAAATCTATTCAGTTTATGGGTATAAAGCATTTTACAAGTAGAGTACTATGTTGTAAATGAATGCTAGTTGAATAATTTGTTCTTGTACATTATTGGTTTGTTATAATTGTGCTTGGAACATTTAATGTAAATGCTTCTGAAATTTCTAAAAACTATCTTTGCATGTTTCTATTTGAAATTAACCTTTAGTGTTCTGGGAGGACATTATGCAACTTCAAGTAGTCTTCCTAGAAACTTGGAACATGTGGAACAATGGTGGAGGGAGGGGGCAGTCCTAGATCAGTCTCCCATCTTCCAGTTTCCAGCTTCCTCTAGAAATAGAAGAGAGTGTTGGGCAGGAGAGCATGCCAAGCCTCTGTACTTCATTTGTACAGCTGGTTAGACCTGCATACTCAGGCCACTAAATACGTGATTGCTTGATTTTGATAGAACGTAACAGTAATACCTAGGTTGTCTTTTTTGATTGGATGTCCTTGGTTCTTTGAAGTTTTTTCCCCATGTCATGATTTCTTCTTTTCTTTCTTTTCTTTTCTCTTTTCTCTTTTCTCTTTTCTCTTTTCTCTTTTCTTTTTTTCTTTTCTTTCTTTCTTCTCTTTTCTTCTTTCTTTCTTTCTTTCTTTCTCTTTTTCTTTCTTTCTTTCTTTCTTCTTTCTTTCTTTCTTTCTTTCTTTCTTTCTTTTTTAAGATTTACCCATTTATTTATTCACGATAGACACACAGACAGAGAGAGAGAGAGAGAGAGAGAGAGAGGCAGAGACACAGGAGGAGGGAGAAGCAGGCTCCATGCCGGGAGCCCGACACGGGACCCAATCCCGGGACCCCAGGATTGTGCCCCGGGCCAAAGCCAGGCGCTAAACCACTGAGCCACCCAGGGATTCCCCCCACCCCCATGTCATGTTTTCTAAAATGTTCTTGATGGGGCCCTCTGGATATGCTCCAGGATGTTGATACCTCATTGAAAACATGGCACCTCCAGTTGAGCCTTGTATTCCAATATAGGGTACACAGTACCTATGGGGTACAGGGTACATA